CCCTGGATGCGGGGAGATCACATGGCGCGGGGAGGTCACATGGTACCCCTGGAGGCGGGGAGGTCACATGGGGTCCCGGGACGCAGGGAGGTCACATGGTGCGTGATCCTATACATGGGGTTTGTCTGGTCACTGAGCTCCTGGAGGAGTCCGGCTAGTCATGTGATCCCGCGCGGTCTCATAGGCGGAGATCTCTGACCTTGGTTGGGGCCCCTGGGGGGGGGCCCCCTCGCATTCTCTTCCAGGACCGGCGCAGACCTCAGGCCGCTGTATGACTTTGTTTCGGCCGCGCTGGCGCCCTCTGCGGGAGAGGAGTGGGCGGGCCCGGCGTTGCTGGTGGATGACCTCGGCATGTTGATGAGTTTGGGGGTCTCTCCGCTGCGGATCCTGGACTTCCTCCATTACTGCCGAGCCGGCGTGTGCCGCGACCTCCAGGTGCGTCCGTCACACCGACCCGCATTCAATACTTGACTTGTTTCAGGCATCGGGGGCTGTCATCTTGTTGCTCCTTTCAGGGGGACGTGGTGTGTCTGGTGCACAGGGAAGAGGAGGATGAGGATGGGGAGGTCCTGCTGAGGTCGCTGTGTCACCAGAGCGGACGCGTCCTGGAGGCCGAGGGCCTGACCACCGGATTCTGCAAAGACGTCCACGGCCAGGTGAGCGCACCTTCACTGGTCTCCATGGTGACCGTCCTGTACATGGCAGATGGGGGGGCGGGGCCGGTGACACAAAAGGATCCGCCCACCCAGGAAATTCCCATCTCCTCCATTGAGGGAAGTCGCATACAGTCGGGTTATGCTGCCACCTACAGGAGACGAGTCATAAGCCGGCCCGTGGTGTGACTGTGTCTGAGTTCCCGGGAGGGAGGGAGCGCTGATGTCATGCACCAGAGAGGGGGGAGGGGCTTCAAACTTCAAATCCCATCAAGCCTCCTCCTCTGGAAGTCATGGCCACAGTGACCTGGTCACCTCCGGCCCCCCGACTGCCCAGATACCCGAGAAGTTGCCTCGCAGCTATTG